GTTTATATGGTCATTGATGCCTAATATGGAAGGAACGAAGGTTATACAGTCACTGGGTTGGTGAAAGATGCACAGGGGATCGCCAGGCGATTAGATGCCCATGGCGGCAAATTTGTGTGCAGATGATGACTAAAAAATAATTCTCAAGTGTTTTGTGGTGGAAATGATCTACGAATACTCTGATCAACAATCCTTAACAAAATATGTACTTACATATTTTTCCAGTTAATCTGTTCTGAGCTATTCAGATTAACAAAGGAGTCTTGATTTATGATAAACTGGTGGCCATGACAATAAGATAAAGATATAAAACGGACAAATGAATGAGTAGGAGACTGACGTGCAATGCATATCGTAGGCTCTGACCGTCGACTATCAGACCCAGTGGCTCACCGGCCGCTCCAGCGTTCTTTCGACGTCGTCGTCGTATCCGTTGTGCTTTCTTCACCTTCTTTTTGATGACTACTGTGGGAGTCCCCACACTGTTCAAATCACCTGCCGCCGTCTGCAACGGCGAGGCAAGAAATAGCGGATCCGGCTTACCAGTCGAATCAAAAAATGCCTTGTTGTCTTGGCCTTCGGATCCATGCATGATGGTCGTATTAAAACTGTCAGACAGCATACGCGAATTGTCAGAGGGCTGTTAAAAATGAAAGATAATTGCACAACATGGCTTTGTCATTTTTTAAGCAAAAAACTGGAAGTATTATTTAGACAGTACTTTAGAGAAGCAGTATTAACATAAATCCATCATGATCAGTAGTATGGCCGCTAGTCATATATGCATACACGTAGGAATTATAAAGTAAATCTAAATTGCACCAAAAACCTACAGAATGGTACTTTATTAAAAACATCAAAATAATCGCCGTAGCTATCGGCAAATTTGCCAACGTATTGCGAAGCCCGGAAAATTTGAAGCAAACTGAGCTGAATAAGACCCAAGAGAGTCGATTGAATAAGTATTCTATCGTGTCCTTAGCACTAAAGACTATCAAATCAGGAGTATTGGAATGCATTTACCCTCATAGAATAAACCATTATTCAAGGATTCTTATGTTCGAGCTATCTGAAGGCTG